GCTCTGCATGGCAGGACTGCTGCTGCTGCAGCCCTAGGCGGTTGGTCCCTGGGATCCCAGGTGAGGCTGCTGGGGCCAGCCCAGCGCTGATCCCAGCCTCACCTACCCCACCCGGGGTAACATGCTGCATGCCAGAGCACACGTGGCACAGGCATTCCCTGGGAATAACTAGTGGCGGCACAAGGTGCGCTGCTGCTGGTTTTCTCAGGGGAACCAAATATCCATGCACATCTGGATGTGGCCTCGGGGCTTACTTTGTGTATTGTGATCCACTAGATACAACATAGAGTTGGACACATCAGGTGTCCTGAATTCTAATACTGGCTCAACCCACTTAATTTCTTCTCTGTCAGCAAGGTTTACATAAGGGCTTCTGCTGTTGGCCTGGAAAAAATGCTTTTCCCCCTGGAGGCATCATTTGGCTCTTTTGTTCACTTTGCCATCTTCTGAAGTTTTGGACATTGGTCACAGCTAGAGATAGAAGATTGGCTGAGGTATGCTGATAATCCTGCTCATACTTAAAATCTCTCAGACACCTAGCTGGTGGGTCTTGCTCCCATGCTGAGGGTCAAAGCAACTACCTGATTTGGGGTCAGGAAGGAGTTTTTCCCCCCCCTCAGGACATTTTTTTGACTACCTTGGAAGCATGGGGTATGGTCCTTTTCCTAGGATCCTCCCAGCACGTGTTAACCTAACAAATTCCCCGCAGTTTAAAGGGCAGTGTCCTTGTCTACCCTGCTCACTACTCCCCTCTGCATTGCAGAAATGTTTCTTAGCAGGGTGCTTTGTGGCTGTGGTATGTGAGGGGTCAAAGTGGGTGAACATGGGGGCCTGGACTAGATGTCCAAGGAGACCTCTTCTAGGTTGGCATTCTTCCTACCAGAGAGATGTAGTGACCTCAGGGAAAACCACTTCACTTGGCTGCACAGATCCCTTCCTGGTACACTGGCAATGGTGATTTTTATCTAGCTTTGTTTTTATTCTTATTTGTAGATCCCCAAGGCACAAAACTATTATAATTCTTCTTGTACCTACTGTACGTTCCCCTGGATAGCACACTCAGAATTATTGTTTCAGTTATGTGATAAGAGTAAGGACAAGGAAATAGCCTGTCTTCCTGTTCCTTGGTTCCTGTACATTTGTGACATTTCTTAGCCTCAGCATCTTTTCTTGTTCTTTTCTATATTGATTTTTTTTATTTAATAGAAGGTTATTATTATGGTTTGTATGGGATGGTTTGGCTAGGGCTGATCCTGCCTCAGGCAGGGGGTTGGCCTCTGGAGGTCCCTTCCTGCCCTACTTCTCTACGAACCTATGATTATATCATTCAATCTACAGCTTCCACTGATTTCTGGAAATACATACATTGCTGAATGAAATAAAGATACTGGTGGCCAGAGTCGTCTTTGATTGCTCTGTGCTGGTCAGTCAGTACCTGGTTGTGGAAATCTCAAGCCTGGGAGAGTGCCTGAATGTGGAAAAGGCCGTATAGCCACCCACTCGAGCAGCCTCCAGTGCCAAGGGTAGGTTGAGGACATGGTCAGAGTGCTGCGGTGACGTTTAGTCTCTGTTGGTATAAAGGCCTCTGGGGCCATGGCCAGCAGTGTATTTTCTGTGCTGGGGTGGAGCTTGTGTGGAACTGGCTTGTGGATCAAAGATCTGCAGACAGTTCATTTACGTGCCCTCAAAGACCATAAGACTAGGCCGTGACTGTGATCCATATAGCGGAGCAGCTTTCTTAACTCTAGCTGCAGAGAAGGAAAGATAGCAAGGCTGCAGTGATTACTGAAGGAAGAAACCGTAAAAGGAGGAGTTTTAAAGAATGCAAAAGGCAGCTACTCCAAAATCATAGGTGGAGGGATTCCAGTTTACTCCAACACTCTTTTAGGAGGAGGACAGGGTAGAGATTTATTTTCCTACTTCCAAATTGTTTCCACAGTGATATTTATCTTCTGTCTTTTAGTGCATTTAATGTAACCTTTGCATGATTGCATAACTTGGCCTGAAAATGCTGGAGTGGCTATTAAGAACCCCTTTCTTGTGCTGTTTCCTGAATTCCCACATTGTAGCATGATCTATGTATGGAAAACTGCTGGCTTCCTTTATCTGGCAGTGGGTTTGCCAGGGTGTGCTTCAGTTTATGAGTAGTGAGCTGGGTGGGAACATGGGGGGAGAGAGGATGCAAAGGAAGAACATTTTATAAAGGCAATTTGGATTTCATACATCTGTCTTTGCTTTTTTCCTGTTCAGATAAAGCTGTTATCTCTGATTGCATGGTTTAAGCGCGAGCTGCACTTTTTTTTACAATAAACAGAGGAACAGGACTTGAGGTTAACATGCCTCAAGCAAGGCTAAACATTTGTTGGAGTGAAAATTAAGCTGCATTTTTTCTTTGCTCAGGATCTTCCCCATCATCACCTTTTGGCAACACAAGCAGGAGACAGGATATGTGGTGGGGTCATTTATTTTATAAATCTTTATATTAATCTAACTGTAGCTATATATTTCCAATGCACCCCTTGCTGTACCATCTAGCAAACGTGTTTTGTCTAGTTTTTTATATTTGCATACTGTAATGGCATGGGATTTTTAATGAATTGTTTCCATGTGTTTCCCTGTTTGTTTTTCTGACATTTTCTATGAAATGAATTTCAATTACAAGGGAGATAAATAGTCTATTTCTACATGCATGCATTTGGGATTTCTGGGGGGTTTGCTTTGTCTTTCTGAAATTGCTTCCAGATTTTGTAAATTGTAGATTTCTGAATGTTTGTAAAGAACTGTCTTCTGCACAAAGCAATTGAAAGATGCAGAGTCAAATCTTGTGAGGAATCCCACTGAACTGACTGCACTGGGCAAAGCTCAGGATTTGACCTCAGGCCAACAGGAACTGAAGACTGGAGAGCACATGAAAAGGAACATAACTTTGTATGATCAGGCCCAAAAGTTGAGACTATTGCAGGGTGTTAATGTTTTGTATGTCATGGGCTGAAAATACAAAAGGGGGGGGGGGGGGGGGGGGAAAAAGTGTGTGGGGGAAAAAAAAAAAAGGGGGGGGGGGGGAGAGGAGATAAAATGCTGTGGTGCATGGACTTCTTCCCTCTTATTTTTCATTGTTGTCATTCTTTAAATTGCAAGTTAGTGAAAAGAGCCGGTCACAAAACAAACACGATCAACTCCAGTAATCTCCATCCTGCTTTCACAGACAATGAAATGAGTTCACACAGAGGAGATTTCGCAAACAAAGGATTAGAGAGTTATTGTATGTAGATGTGGGGTAAGGAGCTGAATTGAGAGACCACAGGGTAATATTATTTGTACATAAACGGGTCCTTCTGAAGGAGGACCCATTTGAGAAAAGAGGCCATCTTGTCATCACCTAGCCTCGTTTACCCTTGGGATTTGCCTTGATTACAGCCTTAAGTGCAGGATAAGACAAAACCGTTGGTAGTAATGGAGCCAACCCCACTTTCAAGCTCCTGCACCAGTGCAAAGAACCGTTTCCCCTGTCTATGCTTGAGGTTTGTACCGCTGCAAACTCATACCTGTGGCATTGCACATTCTGAAGTATTCAGAAATCATTGGTCAGACTTCCCCAAAATAGCCAGCTTTGATTGAACTGCAGGAGGTGGCAGCACCACAAAGACGTGCTGAAGTCTAAAGAAGACCTTCAGTGCCTCCTGTTCTCAGCTGGATGCTTTAGGTGCAATCCTGGAGGACAATAGCACCTGCAGGTGTTCAGCACTATGTAGGACAGGCCCGTGGAAGAATATTTGATGGACTGCTTTTACTTTTAACATAAACTCATCTCGTTTAAAGGGGCTTCTCCTTAAGTGCCCTGTAAAATGCATATATTTAGTCATCTTCTATTTTTGCCTCGCTTTCAATTATTTTTAGCAGTTGGCCAGCAAAAATGATGAGTCAGAACTTTAGCTGATGTAAACTTGATGGAGTCTCACATAGCTGGCACAGATTGGGTTTGATGTTTTTTCAATCTTGGAGCCCTAACCTGAAAACATCCTTGGGGGCTAATTTACTCAAGTGACTGACTTGCTGATTCTCCTGGTGCTCTGACTCTAGCACTAATGCCCTGATAAATCAGGCCAAAGAAACCTGGATCACTATGCATAGATTAATAACCATGAGTAAGTGTTGCACAGATCCATGTTGCATCACAAGAGCCTCTGCTACCTCATGTGAGCGTTAATATTTATAAAAGTTCATTAGCTGAAAGCTGATACCCAATATGTATTTATATAGAGAATGCATATTGTATGGTATAAGTAAATGAGCATGTTCTTTATATGAGCAGATATTGCTCATATACAGACACATTGCGTATGCATATATGCATGCGTGTATGCTATTGTGTGCATGCATATGCATGCTTGTTTGTGTGTACGCATGTGTACATGCGTGTGTACACTTGTGTGCATTCATATACATGTTTGTACATACATACATTATATGTGTGCATGCATGCACATGTGGGTGTGTATATACACACGCGTGTAGATGTGTGTGTCTGTGTAATTGGCTAACATTGTATTTTCTGTAACCTAGTTGCGTTCCCCTCCTCAGCTCCCTCCCTCTCTCGTTAGTCCCTTGCTCTGTCGATCTGTATTTCCCTACTGGTTTTGTCATCTTTTTGGATTCATAACTCTTAACATCTACTAATAAAAGTCAGTCTTTTTAAGAATCCCCCCCGCCCCGGTATTCCAAACCAAATTAGCCAAATCAAATTCTGAATCCGTGAGTCAGTCCAGCACCATAAACGGCCTTATAACTGGCAAACATCCTCCAGCCCCATTTGGGGCTTCAGATGTTCCCCAATCCTTTGGCGGGCACCCCGCATGCAGGCGCAAGCCCAGGGGCTCGGGGTGCAGGGGATGCCCCGAGTTCTGCTTGCTCTCAGCCATTTGGCCGCGGGGGCAAGCCAGGGAGGAGCCGGCCCTTCCCATGAAGTGGGCGCAAAGCCAAGCCCGTCCCCCTCCAGCAGCCAAGCGGGAGGCTCACCATCCGCGGCCGCGGCAGGCACGACTGGGCGCCGGCAGAGCCGCCTTCCCCGGTGCGACCAGGTGGTCACGGCGGTCCCAGTGCCGGACCAGCCTGGGGGGATCCGAGCCCGCCCGAGGTGCGTGTGTAACATCTGCGCTTTCCGATGTAAAACCTACAACTTCATCATGGTCCGGCGCAGGGGCGAGCGGCGGCGGCGGCGG